TCGTTTAATATAAATTATTTAAATGTTTCTTTGTTATAGGTGAATTGGGAGAACTAAAGCAATATGGTTTGCAAACACTAGCCATGACTTCTAATGGCATAGCGTTAAAGCGAAAACTACCTGAATTGGTCAAAAATGGGTTGAATTTGTTGAACATTAGTTTAGATACGTTAGATCCATTCAAGTTTGAATTGATTACTCGTAGAAAAGGTATATAACTATTAACGTGTTATATTTGATATCTTTAATATAACCATTTATCTATTATGAATATAGGATTTGAACGTGTAATGGAATCAATTGATCAGGGTATTGCTCTTGGTCTTCGTCCCCTTAAACTTAATTGTGTGGTTGTGCGAGGAGTAAATGATCAGGAAGTTTTAGACTTTATTGAAATGACTCGTACGAAGGCTATAGATGTAAGGTTTATTGAATATATGCCATTTGATGGTATGTATTGATTGTTCAATTTATAAAAAGTTGTTGGATTTTTTTTCTTTTTTATCTTGACATTTTTTTTGATAATAATAAGGTAACAAATGGAATAAGCAAAAGCTTATTCCATATAGCGAACTTTTAGATAATATTCGGAACAAGTACGATGTTGTGAAACTGTTTGATGATGCGCATGATACTTCAAAGGTTAGTTATCACAATATTATTACATAATTAGAAGAGTAGACTCATCTTTAATTTTAAACAATGTCAGGCTTATCAAGTGTTGGGACATGTTGGTCAATTTGGGTTTATTACATCAATGACGGACCATTTCTGTGGGACTTGTAACAGATTAAGGATTACTGCGGATGGCAACTTAAAGGTTAGATATATATATTTTTAACTAATTATTATGTTTAAAATTAATCAAATAAATGACGTTACCTTTTGTAGGTATGCTTATTTGGAAATGCTGAAGTAAGCTTGCGTGACTTATTACGAGAGAACGTACCGGATCAGCAACTATTAGAAATTATCGGAGCGACTGTAAAAAATAAAAAGAAACAGCACGCAGGTATGTTCACTCTGGCCGAGACAAAAAATAGGCCGATGATACTCATTGGCGGATGAAAATGGTGTGGTTGACTGGGTGCAGGTTAGTGATGTTGCGTGTTTTATATATAATGCACTAGTAAGAATCTACTTATCCTCCACTTATTTAATCAACAAACTAAACTATTTTTTAATGTATATAGACTTTAATATTATGGCATCTGGTCGATAAATGGCATCATTCAAGTATGCTATTCTATCCTCTTTGTCTTATAAACACCTATATCTATTCTACTTGATATACTAAAATATCCCGGAATATAGATTTTTATTATTGTAGATTCGGTCAACTACACGGACAGCATCGAGCAGTTACATTCTGCGAAAGTATCTTGGTATAAAAAGAAGCATTCCATTATACCGCTCATTCAACCCACAATATACTACCCACATTATCTTTACAAGATCGACAAAACTTTCATTCCCTTCAATTACGGTTTTCCTTCATATCTCTTTCAATCCCGTGTTTACTCATCAAAAAACAACAAATCAGAATGTTCACAAATATCACAAAATACATCAATTTCTTACACTCCCACACTCTCCCATATCGATCCTTCAAGTGGACGTGCTTCGATGGTAAACATATCTGCTAAAGCCCCAACCACCCGTACCGCGACAGCGAGTGGAAAAATACGTATTGGTCGCGAAGCATTTGATCTGATACAGAAAAACCTTATGAAAAAAGGCGACGTATTTACAGTTTCACAGATTGCTGGTATTAATGCCGCCAAACAAACAGGACATTTAATTCCTTTATGTCATAATTTATTACTTTCTCATGTTTCAGTTGATTTAAAATTAGAACAAGATAATTCAGTTGAGATTATAGCAAAAGTAGAATGCGATGGTAAGACTGGTGCAGAAATGGAGGCACTAACTGCCGTTAGTATCGCAGCATTAACAGTGTTTGATATGTGTAAATCTGTAAGTAAAGGTATGGTAATTGAGGATATAAAACTTTTAGAAAAAACTGGAGGAAAAAGCGGAAGCTGGAGATTCAAGGAAACAAAATAAATATTATATAAATCATAATTTAGATAAAAAATATAAATACATGATTTAATCATAATTTATCTAAGACATAAATGAGTATGTTATACAGATTTTTTAAATATTAGTTTCATAGTTTTGTAATAATACAATGATTTAAATTACAGTAATCATGTGACAACTAATTTAAATACATTATTTAAAACTAATTTAAAGTAAACAATACAATAAATCATTGCCTTACAAAATAGTACAAAATTGTAAAAAATATACACACAGCTTACTCTTCAAATAATATCTAATATCTAAAATATCTAAAATATCAAGCATCAAAAATATTCGATATTTTTAATTCATCGAAGCTAAAATGTTCCCAATTATAATAATACAATAGATAAGCCGTGAGTGCCAATAAACCAAACCCAATAAATAATAATATATCAGTTTCCTGATTAAATAAGTCTCCTTTAATAGTTGTAGAATATGGGTAGATATCTGTAACTGGAATATTGACAGCACACCATTTTTCAATCTTTTTGTTAATTAAAATGAATAATAATTAATTTAGAAATAAAAGTTTTTAAAAAATTTAAAATAAAACGTTAAATATATTTATTACCTTCCCACAAGCCACACTAATCTTCATAAAATTAGGGTCTTTAGGATCATTTTTACGGATGATTACTCTAGAATACTCACGGAAGATATTTGCAACTTCATGAATATTTGTGCACTTTAGTATTAACTATATTTCAGAAAAAAAAATATTAATGTTCAGCAGTTCTACTAAAACAAGAGGTTTTTTCAGAAAGTTACCTTAATAGATTCTCCCCTTCTAATTTTGACAACTTTTTGGAATGTGTCATAATTTCTAAACATTAAAGCCAAAGTTGCAATTGCCATCACCTGTGGAATGGCACAAAAACTAAAAACAGATCTATTGTGAAGCTTATTCAAATAATCTAAACATTCTGGAGCATGATGAAGAGCATTAAGAATGATGGCTGAAAGACAATTAAGAGCCTCAGTTTCATTACCAGACTCTTTAAGATCTGAAAAATCTTCAACATAATTTGACCAAATTTCTTTTGGCCAAAATTTACGTCCATCAAGAAGATCTTCCAAATAATCACGAATTATGTTTGTTTTTTGTAAAAACAAACCCATGTGAATTGACCTAAAGACCATAAATATTTAATTAGAATTTATTTATAATTAAAAGAATAAATACATGTAAAGAAAGTATAAATGTAAAACTTACAATTCAGTATCTTTTACGAGTTCCGGACTTTCCAGACCACTTTCAGCAAATAAACGGGTAAGGCCAACACCAACCAAACCGGCAACATAATAACAATACTTATCAAATTCTTCATTGTTCTGGACCCCATATTTGTTGTGCGCAGCATTTTTTGCGTAATCGGCCATGCCATTTCCCATTTCTTTAGCTATATCAGCGATAATATCGCGAAACCTAGTTTATACAAGGGAAAAAATAAGTTATCACATGGTTTTACGTAATATGAGGATAAAAAAAATTTTTACATACTCCTTCCTCAAAGACAAAAATTCATCGATCACAATATCAAATTCTACGAGTAATTGACGATCTTTTTCAAGGGGACCACCTAAGACATAAAGAACCAATTGTCAACCAAGAAATTATTAGTTTTAAAAATAAAATTAAGAAACTAACTTTCAGTAAAAGTCCATCCTCTTTGAAAAAGAATTTCATGAAAAGATCTCAATAAAGGTT